GAGTCGAACTCCTTCTGCACTGCGAAGCCTGCCGATGTACGGCTGATTTCAGCCAAAGGCACGGCTGAAATCAGCCGTACCAGCATGAAGTGAATAGCCGAACAGTGTTCGGCTCACTTCACTTTAGATCGGTCATTCACTCGGCTGCCGTCGGCAGTTTAGTGAATAGACCCCAATGTATCTCTTTGCTTAATAATAGCCAAAAAATGTAAAAAAAGTTAATTTATCCAACAGTCATAGTGACTGCTTGATATAAACTGACAAAACAAAAGTTTTTTTTTTTTACAAAGTATAAAAAAATAAATAAAGTGTAAAACAAAATTTTACACCTATCACAGTTGCACAGGTGGCAACCTGATAGGTTGCCACCTGTGCAATAAGTCCATCCGTGAAATTTCCTTGCTACTAAATATTCCAAGGACAACTGTTAGTGGTATTATAACAAAGTGGAAGCAACTGGGAACAACAGCAACTCAGCCACAAAGTGGTTGGCCACGTAAAATGAAAGAGCGGGGTCCGCGTATGCTGAAGCGCAAAGTGCGCAGAAGTCGCCAAGTGTCTGCAGAGTCAATAGCTACAGACCTCCAAACTTCGTTCCATGATTCCATGGCCGAGCAGCTGCGTGTTCTTGAGCGGTTGGGCTTGGTCCCTTAGTTCCAGTGAAGGGAACTCTTAAGGCATCAGCATACTAAGACATTTTGGGCAATTTCATGCTCCCAACTTTGTGGGAACAGTTTGGGGATGGCCCCTTCCTGTTCCAATATGAGTGCGCACCAGTGCACAAAGCAAGGTCCATAAAGACATGGATGAGCGAGTTTGGGGTGCAGGAACTTGACTGGCCTGCACAGAGTCCTGACCTCAACCCGATAGAACAACTTTGGGATAAATTAGAGTAGAGACTGCGAGCGGCCTTCTCCTCCAACATCAGTAGCTGACCTCACAAATGCGCTTCTGGAAGAATGGTCAAACATTCCCATAGACACACTCCTAAACCTTGTGGACGCCTTCCCAGAAGAGTTGAAGTTGTTATAGCGGCAAATGGTGGGCCAACTCAATATTGAACCCTACGGACTAAGACTGGGATGCCATTAAAGTTCATGTGCGTGTAAAGGCAGGCGTCCCAATACATTTGGCAATATAGTGTATACGTAGTCCTGGTTTAGAACTCAGGTAAGGCTCATCTGGCTTCCTGTTGCATCTGTTCTTCCATAATGGGATTTGTTCTCATAATGGAATTTTATGTTGCTGGGTCTAAGCAGCCAGGCTGCAAAGGTAGGTAGAGGTTGAGTATAATTTTACCCTCTGCCTGCCATTCGCTGTAGATAAAATTATTTGGCTTTGGTGAAGTTCTTGTTTAAGATGAGCTATTCCTATAAAGGAAATGTTCAGGTTTTGTTTGGTAATTGAACACAGACTTGATTAACAGAGTTCCATCCTGCCTTGCTCAGTTGAATTTCCTCTTTCAGTTTTATAACATCAAAGTTGTTTCAGTAATGCAAATGTGATCTAGACGAAAAGAGTACTGTAAGATAGATTAAAATGATTTAACTACATGAGTCACAGCTTTTCAGCATGCAGTGTAAACAACTTGCTTTTGATATATCAAAGATTTTTGTTTCATTATTTCTATGTGAATGAATAAGTATGATACGTGTGCAATGTTTAGTGGTTTAACCTTTTTATTTGATTTACAAAAATAATAATTAGGTCTTTCTCTCCAAGTCAATGGGAGGAAACACTATAGAACAGTATTAACTGTTTGCTTATCCATCCTGGGTAAATGTACAGGGCATGATTTAATAAAAGAGTGGAAAACGTTCACTTAAAGGGAATTTTCACTCAGAAAAGCGTGCTGACTTTAAATATGCATTAATGTACAGAGGGATATAAAAAAACATGATTTTGCCTTGTATATTATTGGATGAATGAATTAAGTGCTTTTTGTCTTCAATATATAACATACATTGATTGGTTGAGCGCTTATTTGCCAATTTCCAACTTACTGTAGCCTTTTTAGACATGTGTTCCACTGCCTCATAAAGATAGAATGTATGGTGTTTTGATTAATAATTGGAGGTTTAGAAACATTGTTACATTCAACCTTATAAGCTCACCAAGTTTAAGTTCAGGTTAGTACCCAATATAGAGGTGAAACTCGAATAATTAGAATATCGTGCAAAAGTAATTGCAGTAAGTGCTGCAAAAGGGGCCCAAACCAAGTACTGAGTACATATGCATGCTTGTACTTTTCAGAGGTCCGATATTGTTCTATGTACAATCCTTGTTTTATTGATTGCATGTAATGATCTACTTTTTTGAGGTTGTGGATTTGGGGTTCTTGGGGTTTTCATGAGCTGTAAGCCATAATCATCACAATTATGACAAATCACGGCTTGAATTATCTTGCTTTGCATGTAATGAGTCTATCTCATATATTAGTTTCACCTTTTAAGTTGCATTAGTGAAATAAATGAACTTTGCACGATATTCTAATTATTCGAGTTTCACCTCTACACATGTGCTCATAAGTTTACATACCATGGCAGAATGTATGATTTCCCAGCCATTTTTTCAGAGAATATGAATGATAACACGAAAACCTTTCAGTCACTCATGGGTAGTGTTTGGCTGAAGCCATTTATTATCAATCAACTGTGTTACTCTTTTTCAATCATAATGACACCAGAAACTACCCAAATGACCCTGATCAAAAGTTTACATACCCCAGTTCTTAATACGGTGTGTTGCCCCCTTTAAAATCAGTG